TTTTTAAAAAATAAAATTATATAATAATATTATTATTTTATTAAGTTATATATATTTTTATAACTGAAATATTATGTTCTTATAGCTGAAAGACAACCTGACTTATGTCTTTACTTATGTTCCTATCAACTATTTTAGGAACTCATTTTTACTCATAAGTTCCGATAATGTCATTGGTGAAAAAAAAAGAAACTATTGATATGAAATTCTCTACTCTTTCAAATAAAGTATAACTAAAGCAAAGAAATCATGAGACCATTAAAATAGATACTAAATTCTCTAGGTGATAAAAAAGTGATTATTTCTTCAAGCTAAGGTCTTTAGCTTTTTATTATTTCAATCAAGCAAAGTATGTAAAGGAGATTATTTTCTTATCCTGATCAAGCAATAAGATGAAAAATAGAAAACAGTAAGCCATTATCCTTCTTTAAAATTGAAAATGCATTTTTTCAGACTTTGTATAATAATATCACAATTAAAACAAACACTATTAAAATTCCTTTAACTAGGCATGACTGTTAAAAGATATTGGAGGTTATACAATATAACTAAAAGGTCATATAAGAATCTAGGATCCACTATAAGTCATTAAGATTTGTGCAGATAGATACAAAATCAATACTAAAAGAAAAGAAGTGATAAGCAAAATACTGGATTCGAGTAGATAATAAGTACCTCAAATAATTATAAGAAAATAATCAAGGTCACTAATAGATAAGTTTTTCAGATGGTCAGGAAGAAAAAGAATATTCCAGAAGGGTTTACTTCAAATAAGAAAAAGTTTCTAATAAATAAAAAGTTGTTTATTTTTCAATACAAATAAAACAAATAAAATATTCTTTCTATTAAACTTTTGTTTTTATTCTATAATTTATAAAAAAGTTTTAAATTAAAAACTCTTAATATAATAATTCTTCTTTATATAAAATTTAAAAAATTCTCAATAATATCTACTATTTTTATCTTTAAAAAAACTATAAATTAATAATATATGTTTAAAGCAACAAATGATTTATCAAATCGATAATGATGATGATAATAATTCGAATTAAATAGCTTAGAAAATCAACTGTAAATTTAATTCGTGGATTACAAAGCATAAACAATCTCTACCACCGTGATCCTATTTGCATTACTTGACGAAGATTTATATATTTGATCTTAATGTCAACGTCGGTTAGACCTCGAAGTGGCTCGCAAGGTCAGAATGGTAACAACAATGAGGGAAATCAGGTTGGTGAACCACAGCAACAGCAGCGGCAAGAAACACAATCAGTTTTTCAGTCGATCATACAAGTGATCTTTCGGATTATGATTGCATACTGGATTGTCAGTTATCTATTCAGAGGTTTTACACTTGCGGGATCTTACTTTATTTGCCAGTCGTTGAAAATATTTTCGGACTAAGCATTGTTCTTTCTAGGTCAAAGCAATCAGCCATCTACCCCGCCACCGATTATCAACGTTCCACCTGGGGTAGATATTCCGCAAAACGATCCCACTTTGGTTAAACCAAAGAATCTTTATCCGTCATGGCCGTTAGGTTGTAGCATGGTTGGTGCTCCTCCATTTTTATCTTTGTAACATTTCTATTTAGTAATTATGTTATTGTTTCGCGTAATAGGACTTACGCGTTTATATCTCTGAGAAAGAATATTTTACCAAATTTGATGATCCTTCTTCCCTTGTATGGCACGCCTCAAACATTCATTATGGAGACTGGAAAGACGAAAGAGAGAATTACTTGGAAATTCAGACTTCCGCGGTAGGTTAAATGGATTTATTTGTTAATTTTGTCATTTGTCCCACTTAATATCAGGGATTTTTTTCCAGGCTGTGCGAAATAATGGCTCCTTATATGCACATATCTTTCTTACTCTCGAAAAAGCAACTCCAAACCCATTCGAGCCCGGATATCAGGACAACATGATAGTTTATACGCGCGAATGTACATTTTTTAATTAACATTTAGTGAATTGAAACGTTTCCGGGAATATATAAATTAACTTTCATATATAGTGCTGACAAGGTATCTCCCGAAACGAAAGACGGTTAAAACCAAAAATCTTATTCGCGGTAGCGGTGAAGATGAGGAAACAGAAGAAGATGATGTATGGAAATTTTCAAATAATAATGGCATCACATCAATTTACTTTGACTTTTTTATTCGACTCTTGTAGACAAGTGTGGGTGAAAGACAAATTGTTTCTTATTGGAACAGGAATCTTACACTTAACATTGTTTCCGATTATGCTGTAATCCCATATCATCAATTACCGTCCTCAATTACACCAGGTGGGGGATTTTTTTTTCTTTCTTTTTTTTTTTTTGTCGAAAGTGGTTGTTTTCGTTAAATTCTTTATTTTCCCACTACAGTTATTCCATTGGATACAAGTAAATACATAGATCCAAATACACAAGGTGGATACTATCTTCCTGTTCTATTCGCCAATAACTTTTGGGTTCTTAGAGAACATTTAACACCCATAAACGAGACAGTCAAGTATGTGTTATTTGCCTCCATCCTATCATCTTATTCTTAAATCTTATTAACATAATGCATAGGATTTTGCCGTTGAATATAAAATATTACCCGTTATCATTCTGGAAACTGCAATTATATATTCAAATGGATGAGTCGATCCGGAATCAAGCAGCAATGTTAGGTTCAGATGCATATAGTGAATTTGACGAATTTAAGAGGATGCTTCGAGAGACAAATCCCATTTTGCTAGGGGTTACCTTTACCGTATCTATATTGCACAGCATATTCGAGTTCTTGGCGTTCAAAAATGGTTGGCTATTAGATGTATATATTATTATGAATATTCGTAATTGAAACCGAATTCTAAATATTTACATGAAAATCCTTATGTACACAGATATCTCGCATTGGAAAAATAAGAAAGAGATGACTGGAGTGTCTGTTAGATCAATCCTTTTAAATATTTTTTTTCAAGTGGTCATATTTTTATATTTGATGGATAATAACCAGGATACAAGCTGGATGATTTTGATTGGTCAAGGTGTCTCAGTTGCTATTGAAGTGTGGAAAATAAAAAAAGCAGTCGACATCGAGGTGAGACTTATCGGATCTTAACAACTTTCTCTTTGTGTTTTATTAAAGCAAGCATTGCTTTTAATACAATCCAACTAGATCAAACCTTCCCAGAATTCATTTTTACCTTATACCATAAGATTTGTGGATAAACACAAATTGTCCGAATCAGAAGAGAAAACGAAGGAGTACGATAGGATCGCGTTCATTTATCTGTCCCGGATAGCCTACCCTTTGTTGGCCGGGTACGCCATCTACAGTCTTATTTATAATACGCACAAGAGTTGGTACTCGTTTATATTGACCACTCTTGTCGGATTTGTATATGCATTTGGATTCATAATGATGACTCCACAGTTGTTCATCAATTATAAACTCAAAAGCGTGAGTATTTATGCTTTCAACCTTCAAAGAAAGAATTATAATTAATGACTAACGATAATAATATTCTTGAAGGTGGCACATATGCCTTGGAAAACTTTAATGTATAAGACTCTTGGTACCTTTGTGGATGATCTCTTCGCCTTTTGCATAAAGATGCCAACCTTACATCGCTTGGCGTGTCTGAGGGATGATGTGATCTTTTTTGTGTACTTATATCAACGTTGGGTATATCCAACTGACAATAAGAGAGCAAATGAATATGGCCAGGTAGAGGATGATGAGCCGAACGCGGAAGAGAAAAGTGAACAAAAAACGGAGAGCAAAAAGGATAAATGATAAATATTATTAGTTTTATTTGGATTTGTTTAATTCATTATGGTTTACATGTTACAAGATATGCCGAGATTTTTAAAAATTTGTGCAAGGTAATTGTTTGAATTAACGCGGTCAAGAGAAATGTTATTGGCAGATAATGAATTGCGCGTTTATAATTTTCCATATTGTGATAGCTTTCAGAAAAATTACCTATCAAACAGTAAATAATTCAATCAATTACGGTTCGAATCAATTTAAAAAAAAAAAAAAGAACACCCTATTCATAGACGCATATGATAACCAAATAAGTGATCTACAATAAAATTAATTCAAAAGTAAATTTACAAAAGCAAATATGTATCCTCTTCTTCATTCTTTCTACTGCTGGAAGTTCCGCTACCCGAGTTTGGGGACATATAGGTCGAAAAGACATTGGAAAATTTGTTCGCAGCTTTCGGAATTTTTGCAAACACCCTGGGAATTATGTAGGTTTTTGGCGAAAATCCATATTCACCTGACATCCATATGATCATGAATAATATAAATCAACCAATAAAATTTCGAATTTATAAAAAGTATCGTTGTACCATGCTCGAGATCATCATCCGAACCCTTGATGTACACCCATCCGTCATTTTCATCAGGCCAATCGATTTCATCATAGGGGGAATTCGGACGAGGAGATTCGATTTTCTTTTTTCGAATTGGTCGTGACGTTTGAGATGGTGGAGTAGATGAAGGTGGCGACGAAGATAAAGAATAATTTGAAATAAGTTCTTCGATGACGGGGGAAACTTTCTTGATGTTCCTATGGTTGAGTTTTGATGAAGCTGGTAAGGTGGAAGGATCAGAAAGTTCCGTGAATTTTTTTAAGGCGGTTTGATAGTATTTCTCGTAATTTTCATTTTGGGACATTATTTTTATGCTTTAATAATACTCAAAACCTTTTGGGTCGTGTATCATGAAGACGAGAATGAAAGAGAAAGGAATAGTCTGAAAATGTCCCATGCGAAAGGAAAACAACAATGAGTTTCATTCATCATTTTTAAATCAAATCTAAGTAAATTGGCGATAATATATCATGCTCTCGTGTAAAACAATGAGAAGAATAAAATTTACAACCTGAAGTCACATTATAATGGACTGATTAGATAACCCAGAATTCATTTGTCATAAGAACGTGATCTGGTAATGCAAAAAATCATTTCTTAATGACAAATATCAAGAGAACAAGTTCATGATTTATAATTGCAAATTTTTATTTTTCTAAATTATCATCTAAAACTTATAACAAAAATTGATTTTATCAAAACAATTTCAATACTAATATTTTAAAATACATATATTACTTAATACATCAATAGGTTTACTTACAGTATAACATATACAGTATATACAAAAAAAGCGGCGCTCGATGGTACCACAAACCGTTTTTTTTTTTTATAAATTCACTAAAAAAGATTTTATTTACTGTAAACCTTTTTAATTTCAAGGGTAGATGCTGCAATCATCTAGGACATCAATTGTGAAAAGCTTCATTTATGAGCGAAAACATGAAATTCACTAGAACATTCCGCCCTCTATAGAGTTGATCGAAGCATTCTCTTCGCGAATTCAACATATGCCTGTTAAACGGAGGTGGCGATGGGTATATAAGATTTCGTAAATAGAAATTATTTATTTTTTTTCTTACCTCGCGAGTCATGCCCATCAATACGACGTCAACCACACCACTTTCTAACAAAAATTGCAAGGAAAACTCTTCGATGGTCAAATTTTCATTTTTTGCCAACGCGTTGAATCCCTGACATTCGATTAAATATTTTCTAACTTGTTGGGATCCGCGATATCTAACTTCGGCATCAAACGTGTCCAAAAAAGGTTGCAGTATCGAGTTAACATCCGAACTCCCGCGAAATTGTCTCAGAGTAGCATTGACAGATTGGCGGTAAGATTCCCAGTCGAACACGCTTTTAATGTCGGGGAGTTGGTTATCTAGTTGCTTAACTAAATCGAGAATAAAATGAAAAGGAGTTTTCATTCCTCCTTCATCCTTGATTTTAGTTTCCAAATTGGTCAGGGTGATTTGCTTAATATGATCATAGGGAGGCTTCGGATAGCTGGCCAAGCGAAATGAACCATCGTTATTGAAGGCATTAAACGGCCTGTTTATGAAAACCTTGCGAAGATTAAGTTCGTAATAATCAATCGTCCATTTGGCACCAGAAAACCATCACCGGGTAATAAATACCTTTAACCCGTTTGCCTGGGCCCATTTTGCGGTGGTCTTCAATCCGGTTTGTTCCAGTAAATTACCAGGCATCTGCACTGAAATAGGAAGCGAAAGAGATATACATGCTTGCCCATGTGTCTACAATGAAGATGAGTGGAGTGTACCTGCAGAGAATCCGTGTTTCTCGGTCCCTCGAACGCGCTTAGCTGCAACCTTGGCAATGTCAATCAAACTTTCATATGGAAGAAAGTGGTTGTCGTCATGTGATATAGAAAAGCTATTTGAGCTAATGCCGTAAGAGCGAATCAGTCCCTTCATATGAAATTAAAATAGGTGAATAAACCGTTTGCGACACGAAGGCTCTTTTTGCATAAACGCGTACCGATTTTAAAACCTCCTCCATTGCTTCAAAAGTTTGACCAATTCTTTCCAACATCAGTTTTTGAAATCCTTTTTTAGCAAAAGATAGGAATAGTGAGAAATGATGACGACCGAATGCGTAAGAATAAGCAATTGGTATTTATCAACCTTTGACTTTTGCTTCGTCGGAACAGTTAATGTTGTGGATGAGAAAGTATTCGGGATTGTGAATAAATAGAATATCCAAGTATTTGGTCTGCAGTCGAGACAAACTACGGTTCAGTTGGTCTCTGCGAATTGCCAAATCTGCATGTCAGATATTAATCTTTATGAATTTTAAATGTTCCGAGATTACCTCATAAATTCCGGATGAATACAATGATAACAATTCCCCTTATATTTAACAATGTGTTCGCTTGGTACATTCTGTGTTTAACATTCCCCAATGATCAGATCATGATAATAAAATCACGTTTCTCACATTTACGGTGTATTACCTTAAACGCTCCGTTATGATACAACGCAAGATTTTCTCCTTGAATGTAGCCAAACTTCGATGCTAGACATAGGTCAGCACGACTCAAACAATCTTTGTTACGAGATGATAGAAATTTCCCAATCAATCTTTCACTGTCGCCATCACCTGAAGAAAATTTCCAGCCACGAGTGAAAATTGTAAAGAAGGTAAGAAAAAGGTGTTGATATTAAGGGAATGAAATTTACAATAATTCGCCGAGGTATCGATCACGTTGATATCAGTTCCATCCGGATTTTTCGTTAGAGCTTTCATCAACGCCTTTTCATTTTCCACATTTCCGATACACATCCGATACATCCCAACACCAATTCGCGAGAGTTTTTCAATATTCATGGTGTCTAGAGAAAGAACGTTCACACGAGTTACACGGATTTTTATTCATCTCACATTACATCACCATGGTTCCCGAGGCTAATATATTTTCGAACATTCCAGAATTTCTAGCCGATGCCCGACACGCGAAAAAAAATGTGAACAAGGGCGATCATTAAATGATATTATCATTAAAACCCCAATAATTATGCAATTAAGAAAGGAGGGCAATTGACCGATCTTTCAAATATACAGTTCAATCAATAGTCACGTGAAAAGGAATAGCAAGTCCCCGAGGCACTCGAATCTTTACATCACGAAACGTCACGTTTCGCGCAAAAAAAATTAATCGCACATCTACTGTATTGCCAAAATTGCAAGAATCTTGCATTATGTGTTAGACAATTGAAATTAATCAAAATTTCTGATCATTTACAAAGAAAAAAAGGGAATTATCAACAACTGTTCTAAATGATTGATTCTTTAAAGATTTAAAGTAATTCATTAATTAAACAAATGTCAAAACATATCTCATAGACTGAGCTTTTGCCTATCTCTATTTCTCATAAAACTTTAATTCTCAATTTTATATTGCATATTAAAAACCATCTATTGGTAAAATAAATAGAGTCAAATGATTAAAATAGATATAAAAAAAATTGTAAACATGTTTTATAAACTGATAAATTTACCATTAATATCAATTTCCATAGAAGATTTGTTATTAATCATGTTATTAAAGCATATTTTTATTGAGACATTAAATAAATATCTATAATATTACACTGATTATTTGTATAATAGCCAACTTATTATCATACATTATTAGTTGAAGGATTATGCTACTTAAAAATATGAGAAGTCTGCTAAACTAGTTGAAATAAATAAAATTTATTGAAAAATCATAAAAGCTAAAGTTTTAAAGGAATCAAAATAACTAATAAAAAAAAAAACAAGTCTTTTTATCATAAAAAATCTCTATTAATAATTATTTAAAAAATAAAAAAATCTTTGAATACTTTATAATTAATTATTTTTTTAAAAAAAAAAACCTTTTTGTCATTTACAATAAAAAAATTTTTTTGATTATTAGAAATTAAGTTTTTGATTAAAAAGATTTATAAAAAAGAAAAAAGATATAATAATAACCTTTAAAAATATATTTTTAAGTTAAGAAAAATAACAAAATTTTGTTAATTAAAGAAGAAAAAAAACTTTGATAAATGTATTTTTTTATATAAAGTATGATCAAAAAGAATTTTTTCTTTTACAAAAAGATTTATATTGAATATTATAATATAAATTATATAATCTAAATTGAATTTCAATAATTATTAAAAATAAATACAAACTGATTTTTTTATAAGCAATTTATAATTAATTTAAATGATTATTTATTAATTCTTATAAAGTATATTCAATATATAAATAATTTAAATATTATTTATTTTTTTTTTTGAGTACCCATAGTCAGATTAGATTATCGGTTTATTAATCAATTGAAAAAAAAAATACATTTTCATTCAAGTAGCATAATACATACTATAGTCAAACTATTAGTATAATCTAACTAATTCATCATAAGTATAAAAGTCTCTAAGTTTGGTCTTGAGAACAATATTTTATTCTGCAATGTCTTTGGGTAAAAACCCTCCTAATCCATTACATTATTATCAGCAGGTTGGCACTACTATATATAAAGATAGGTCCCTAAAGGGGGAGGCAGGGACATAAGTCAAATGTCCTTTACTAGGAAACATTAAATTTTTTAAATTAATAACTATAAAAAAACTATCCACAATTGTTCTCTATTATTCAAATCATTGATTTATAGCATTTACTGATTTTTGTTCCTATTAAAGTGAAGAGCTATGAATTTTGTCCCTCAAAAAGGAACATAAGTGATCAGCGAAATTTTATATGCTAAATACTTTAGGGACCCATCATTAACTATCTATCATATCAAGCTGCTGGAATATAGGAAACTATAAAAGGATGAGTTGAAAAAAGGGGAAGAGATATATCTAAAAATGTTTAAACAGATAACAAGAAAATAAAAAAATAAAAATTGAAAAAAATATTTCTAGTTTCCTTCAAAAACCTGTTTCTTAAGACTTTTTCACAATAAAAAATGTTTGATTGAGATATTCTTTCTTTTTTTGACTATCTAAAAAACTTATTCATTTTTAATTTTGATTTTCTTCTTATGTACTGTCTGAGGAGACTTATCTTTTAATAGAGACCTTTACTTTCAGAATACACTTGGTTTCAACCTTCTTTGGATAGTAATTTTTTATTCACCTATAGTAGAAAGGTGACTTATAATGGATCTCAGGTTCCTATGTAAACTAGTAAGAACTAGATTATATTGTTTCAATATGATACCTTCCAGCAGTTATATCTAATTAAAGGAATTTTACTAATATACATCTTTTATTACCCAAAAGATCAAATTTCCTAATAATCCTTTTATCTTGTAATGGTGTGAGGGTCTCAAAAGTGATGCAAATTCTTGTCGATTGTGATATCCTTTAACAACTTCTAAGAAAATATATTCTCAACTATAACCAAAGGATTGGAGCTTAGTATGAACTAGAGACCATTTGATCTTATTGTCTGATTGAAATAAAAAGGAGACCTTGGTCTTAAACTTTGCCTGACTAGGATAATAAGAGAGAAGGATCTCGGCTTGAATGAATAGTAGCTTTTTTATCACCTGGAAACTTGTTGTTCGTATCTTATTGACCTTATGGAACTTGATCTATAGGTTAACCCAATTGGCGAAGTGGAATGGACATGAAACACTAATCAACTCTTTCAATCATCAATAACATTATCAAAACACGTGAGATAACCAGTAGGAGCTTATTTATATTTAGTTATCAATGTATTTCATATTAACCAATCAGATGTCAGGTGACATTATGTTATCAAAAATTTAGGATCAAACTGAGATAAGCAAAATTACTCAAGAAAACTGTGAAAAACAGTAGACACTTTAAAAGGATACAAAACAGTATGTGAAAAAGTGGACAATAAACCTTTCCTTATCAACAAAACCTCTATTTCTTGTTGCTTCTAGCTCTGTAAGGTAACATTCCACTTGTCAGTCCTTTTACTTCCTAGAATTTTCTTGTTTTTAATAAAGGAAGTGTGTACTTGAGTCTTTTCAGGACACTAGAGTTTTTATTCAAAAGAATTTATAAATAAGTAAGAGA